GCAGGAAGGCTACTTAAAGGTTTGTCAGGGCTCCCCTGGTCTACTCTCTTTGATCAGAAGCTACCTCTGTAGCACTTAGCATGGGTTGCTGCTCTCTGTTCCCTTCTGGGCCATACCCTCATATCCCTCTGCTGGTAGCTAAGTGTTTTTAACAGCTGCATACGAAGCCACTACTCTCTTGGTGTGAAGCGACACCACTGAGGGCCATAGCTGCACTCACAGGTCTACAGCAAAGGAACTGAAGTTTTAATCACCGATAACATGATCGGCCTTACAGCAGGAAGAGTGGATGCAAGAGGGGGTTTTATTTTTCTGGGCCCTGCTGGAAGGATTTTTTTTAAAAGCTTCCTCAAAGCCTCTTGCAAGGTCATTGGTCTCCTCTCTGGGCAGCCCCAGATACCTTGGATTACCTTTTCTGCCTTCTTCACATCACTAAGCTTCTCTGAGCCCCTCTATTACATGAGTAACAGAGGAGCGTTCCAGGCAGGGGCAGGAAGACTGCTTGGATCAGACTCTTTAGGAAGAAAATTACAAAGCTTAAATGCCTCGATGGCTGGGTTAGCTAATTCTGTAAAATGTTCTCTGTCATTTCAAATGGCCTTGGTATGTTCTTAGCTCTTGTTTCAAAGTGATTTTGTGATCTTGTCGCACACCACTGGACTCTTGGATTTTATCCCAACATTCGTTTGTTGGGTGGCAGAAAGGCAGGAGAATATGTGAATCTTATATAGTGTGAAAAAATGAATGAAAGATAAAATTAATACTGGTAACTTTCCTTACTACAGCTAAGCAATAGGAATGTCTTGCACTAAATTGCATGTAATTTTTTTTGTGTGCTGTGTGACCTGGCAGCCAGGTGGAAAAGGGAAGCACCATGGGCCTGGACTGCTCTGGTAGCTCTTGCCATGCCCCGGTGCTGCTGGCAACGTATCTGGTGATACAGTGCTGCTGCGGTGTCTGAGCCGCTCACAGAGATGCCTTGCAAGTATATTTCCCTCCGGGTAAGTTTCTGCTCTATCACTACAGAGGCTGAATTTTTTTCCAGTTAAATTTCTCTCATCTATTTGCCTTTGTTTCTTTATTTAGTATTCCTTGTTACTTACCGCAGCTGTGCCAGCAAGCCCAACAGGAAAGCATTAGAAGGTCTCAGTTCATTAAACAGAGTTAATGAACTGATTTTGAGAATATATGTGTTTTTACATTGTTTAGCTGATATTTTGAATCTTGGGAAGTGTTTGCTTGTCTCTGCAATGTCAAGTTCTGCTTGTGGGAATGCTTTCTTTCTCCAGCAACGTGTCACTCGCAAGACATTTTGATTTTGTTAGCAGAGGGGATAAACTTCCTCTTTTATCTCCCTCTCTCCTTTTCTCCTCAGTATTTTTCATGTCTTTGCATTATTCTGGCTTTAGGCTTTAGAGAAGTTAATCACATACAAACAAAATTCCATGGCACTTAGCCGATTTAACTTGTCACAGGCATTTGTCATAGTAGACAAGCTATGTCACAACTTAGTCTCACCCAGACCTTCTTCCAGGCCTATGATGGAATGACTGGCTGGGTAGATGAGGGCAGAGCAGTGGCTGTTGTCTCCCTGGACTTCAGCAAGGCTTTTGACGCTGTCTCCCATCACATCCTCGTAGGTAAACTCAGGAAGCGTGGGCTGGATGAGTGGCCGGTGAGGTGGATTGAGAACTGGCTGGATGGCCGAGCGCAGAGGGTTGTGGTGAATGGCGCAGAGTCTAGTTGGAGGCCTGTAGCTAGTGGTGTCCCCCAGGGGTCAGTCCTGGGTCCAGTCTTGTTCAATATATTTATCAATGACCTGGTGGAAGGGACAGAGTGCACCCTCAGCAGGTTTGCTGATGATACTAAACTGGGGGGAGTGGCTGATACACCAGAAGACTGTGCTGCCATTCAGAGGGACCTGGACAGGCTGG